CACATGCCATCTCTGTAAGTTCCAATATCTGTATCCTGCAGCAATGGCATAACTCAACTCTGCCTTGAAATCTGCCAAACAGAAACCCAAGTACCTTCAAGCTCTTGACCACTGAAGGTTCCCCGTATAAGGCTTATCTCTGACCTCTGAAACCAGAAAACTGCTTACTCTGATTGCCGACCTACAAACCTGACCATGGCCTCATGCACAGGCCTGGTTTTGGCTTCACAGTTACAACACTGGTGCCTGCAAACATCCCAGTACATCTTTAGCGTATTATTTTCAACATAGGTCTATGCTTTAAAAAAAGATGGCTACATGTCCAAATCCATACAGATTTAATTCACAAGGAACTTTGGTGTAAAAAAACAATGAAAAGAACAATAAGGCAACAACCAGGACTGGGGTCGGGGAAGAAACACAAATGCTGACAAAAGGATTTGACTAAATCACAAATGTGTGACGAACCCCCTGACGCGGATGGGGAACTGACCTAAGTAAACCTGGATAGTGTTCTGAATGAAAACTGCAAGACAAAAGGCAAAAAGACCTGTACATGAACGTTGTGAGCCAGCTGACACTGTTTGTCACAGAGGCAGGGTTAAACATCCTGAAACTACTTTACATGCATACTGTCCAGCAAACAAGTAAATGAGTGGTGGGTGATGGGAGCCAAGTTTCTTACTGTTGGAGAAAGAAGTTACAGATAATCCAGCAGAAATAGCATATACCCATGGCACACTAGATTAGCGCTGAAGACATCAGATGAACATGCTTACCTTAGTCCAGACCCAGAGGGCCAGCTACAGAAATAACAACAGACACGCACATTAGTATGCACACATACACTTCTGCTCTATCTGCAGAGAGGGCTTGGAAGCAGTAACATATTTGTGGGAGCAAAAAAAGTACATTTACAGTAAGGAAACCTGACAGACACTACAGAGGTCAAGGCTATGTGAGGGGTGTGCTGATAACATGCACTGATATCACGTGATGAGAAGGTCTTGCCCTTCCAGTCTTTCTTCCAAAAGCGCATAACCCTGGCACAGTTATAAGAAAAACAAGACAAAATGAAATAGCCAAAGAAGTGACTAAAGAGATGACAACTAAATGCAGTGTGGTACCCTAAATTGCATCCTGGACAATGTCTTTAAAAAGCACATCAATAAAATCCAAATCAAACCTGAACTTTCCTATGTAGTTTAGTCAACAGTAATGTACCAATGTTGTTTCTTAGTTCGGACAAATGTAACTGAAGATCTTAACAATTGAGAGACCTGGGTGAGGGCACAAGTGAACTCTCCGTACTATCTACAACTCTTTGTAAATCTAACACAGTTCCAAACTAAAAAAGCTATTTAAAAGGAGAGAGAGTAAGAGAGAGACTGCAAAATGAGGCGAAAGAGAATATGAAAACAGATGAAGCTGCATTTAGAAAAGTCTTCATGATTTTAGAACTCAACTCTGTCATTTTTGTTTGTTTTGTTTTGTTTTCATGGTTTGTTCTGAGACAATGTCTCACTATGTTGCTCAGATTGGCCTTGAACTCCTGGGCTTAAGCAATTCTCCTGCCTCAGTCTCCCCAACAGCTGGGACTATAGGTGCACCTGGCTAGCTCTGTCCTTTAATTTAAAGAATTTTACTTGCATATACACAAGGCAGTGGTCACACATTATTCTAGCAACTTTCCCTCATTATTCAGAACATCAAACACATGCATGCACCCACCCACAGGCAAAATCTCTGTCCAGCATCATGCAAAATGAAGAGCTGTATGTGGTGGTGGCAGCATGTGCCTATAGTCCCAGCCACTTGGGAGGCTCAGTGAGGCAAGAGGATTAGTTGAGCCTAGGAGTTCAAGGCCAGTAAGGTCAGGACAGCAAGATCCTATCTTAAAAACAAAAGAAGAGGAGGAAAATCAGGGGGAGGAGGGGGAAGGAAGGAAGGAGGGAAAGGGAAAGGGGAAGGGGAAGGGAAAGGGGAAGGGGAAAGGGAAAGGAGGGAGGGAGGTAAAGAGAGGGGAGGAGGGAAGGAGAGGAGATAGGAGGGGAGGGGAAGAGATTAAACAGACCCATGTTGTAATGTGGCAAATAAAATGAAGTAGGAATCAGGAAGGACTTCCTATTACCTAGTTATACCATCTTAAACAATTTACTTCATCTCTCTGTTTCCTGATCTATTACAAAGGTAGGTAAGGAAGAAGATGCTTAAGCAAAGGGCAAGGTCATGCTAATCCACAAATATGAGTATCAACCTCTTTAAAACCAACAAATTCTTTCAGATTTCCTTGCATCTTCCCATAGCTCCTTTCAGTCTCCCTGTCTGCTACTTTACCCCACCCCTCAGCATGCTGGTCCCGGCCTCCATTTCACTTCACAAACTGTCCCTAAGAAATACACTCATTCCATGACTTTAGCTGTCTTGTGGCCTCCTTATCAACTGACCAAGTGCTCAATAATGGCCTCCACTGAGAGACAGGTCTAAAACTTACCCACTGCCTCTCCACAACAAGTTCCTCTCCCACATTCCCAACTGTCACAGTCAGAATAATACACACCTCCCTGAAAGATGCTCTGAGTATACAATGGTACATGGGAAGGAGGAATTGAAGTTGCCGATGGAAGTAAGATTGCTAACCCACTGGCCTGCAGAAAGGAAGATAGTCTAGAATTAACTACAAAATCTAATATGCTCACAAAGGTCTTTATTTAGAAAGAAAAAAGCCAGGAGAATTACTGTCATAGTGATGCAGTGCGACAAAACTGGGACTGGCCACTGTCAGCTCTGAAGATGGGTGGGCTTTGAGCCAAGGCAGGTGATCTCTAGAAGCTAGAAAAGGCCAGAAAATTATCTCCCCAGAGCCTCCAGAAGGAAACAAAGTCTTAGCACTTCGATCTTCACCCAGCAGACCCCCTTCAGACCTATGAAGTGGGGGCTGTTTTAAGCTGTTGCATTTGAGGTAATCTGTTCCAGGAGCAAATGGAGGCTTAGTCATAAATTTAAGTGTCACTCCTTTGATGTCTCATTTGCCCCCAATTTCAATACTTGGGTAATAATCAAGTTTCATCAATTATTCCTCCCATCTCCTGTGAATCTGTTTACTTCTCACCAACCCCAAACCATCATTCTAGTTCAAGCCACTATTATCAAATGCAAGAGTGTCCCAACTGGTGGCTGATCTCCACGGTCAATCCTAAAAAGCAGCTTTCCACATTACAGCCAGACAATTAATGCAAAACACAAAGTATCTTCTTGCTATTTTGAATACTTTTAAATAGCTTCTTTCTTCCCTAAAGTCTAGGCTCCTTCATCTGACTTCTGCTCTTGCCCTGTCCTATTCTCTCCAGCTTCTGCTCAGTGCACACTGCTCTTACTCATTTTGTTCAGTAAATGGTCTTCATTTATACATCAACCATTTCAGTATCTACATGATCACTACCCCCCCAATGACAGATACAAATTATTCCCTTGGTCCATGAGTTGAGGCCACCCTGTGACTACTCTGAGTAACTAGATACAGAGGAAGTGACATTCTGGGCGTCTGAGTCATGTCTTAACAGGACTGGCAGTTTCTGCTTCCGTCTGCTTCCTGTTACAATGCAGTGACCACGCTAGGAGAAACCCAAGCCCCAAGGAGACACCATATGGGGAACCCTAGGCGCTGGTGAGCACCCTGTCAAAAGACAGTACCACTGCCAGCCGTGTTAGTGAGCCACCTTTCAAGTTCCAATGCCCAATGGCTGTCACCTTCCTCAACATCACACAGAGCAGAACTCCCAACTCAGTTCAGTCAAAACAATGAATCACAAGACACTGAAAAAACAAAGAAAGAAGTTAGTGGTTTTACAACATTTAAGTTTTGAGCACTTTCAACATATGACCTCGAGAGTTCAAAGCTTACTCCCAATGCCAAGTTCATTACTGCTACTTAGAAAAATTCTCTAATGAGTTCCACCTCTTGCTGTGAGGAGCAGTTCACATGCACGGTGGTGGGAGGACTTCCCAGGACCATCACTAGAATGGGCACTCTCACCCATGATAAACAGTACCTGCAGTAAGTGTATCCATACTGGTTCTATTTCTGATTTCATCTTCTTTCCAGATACAGATTGAAAATGAGTTTTTAGTGACAAAGAGAAGACTCATTCACCTATTAAATTCTAATGGGTAAAATATATTTGGCAAATATTATTTTCCCAAAATTTGGGGAAGTATGTTCTCATGGTGTTCAACTGGGACCAACCCAAACCACTGAGTAAACATAAAACAACAGTACATTAGAACCCTGCTCACGTGACAGTCACTTGCTCTGGTTAGTACAGTATACTGTAAGTATATTAAAGCATGCGGAGCAAACAATGTGAAGGATTTTGTTTATATGTTGAAAAGGTTCCTCTGCTGGTGCAATGGTCTAGAGTGGTAGGAATAAGATGCAAAAACACTATATACTATAGTTGGAATAAAGATGCAAACAACTGTAATGTATGAGTGAAAAGTTAATTACTAAAATATATAATCAGGTGGCCAAAAAAGAAGTGGAAAGGAACAAAACTGCTTCACAGTGGAGCACCTGAAACCCTCATTAGACTGCAGTTTTCTCTGACATCCACCTGGATTGAAAAGTTTTCTGGGCATTACTGTGACTGATACATGATTCTGGTGAAATCTAATATAGGAACTACTATTTGTGTTTTCTTTCCCCATTATTAACTACCTAACACAGGCACATGGAAATTGTAAATTAGGAAAAAAGTAACAGACAACATCACTACCAATGTCAATATTAAGTTTCAGCCAAGATCTAAAAATTCTCACAAGCTTAGCACTAAGAGACTGAAGTCAGGATTCAGAGCAATTTTTTCAAATTCAACAAATTCTAGAACTACCTAAGAACCCTAGGAGGTTCCATTCCAACAGAACAACACACACACACACACACACACACACACACACACACACACAGAGCAGGGGGAGGGTGCTGACAAAATCTGCAACTTCTGTATAATATGTTACATAATCTTTAACTGGTTCACACATCTATTTTAGTCTATCCCATAGGCATACCTTCCCATGATAGCGTCCCAGAAGGCATTTTGCTTGAAATTAAATCCCATACCAATTTTTCCTGAAACTAGAACATATTTCTATTTCTTAGATCATATTGCAGCAGAAGTTAGGACGAGAGCTGTGGTGATCAACACTGGGTAGAGAACAGGGAGTGGCTGCCCTGCACTGCTTGTCTTGTGCAGGCAGAAAGGGACGATGGGATAAGGTCCTTTTCTGAAAAGGTAGCAGAGATTCTACAAGTGTCTCCACACTAGTGCCCATCCAGTAGGACCCTTGGAAGAACAATTGTTTTTCCCTCTCTCCCTGCACCCAGTCACAATGGGCGACAGTTACGGCAGTTGGGGGGAAGCTACCAATGTGCGAGTCTGAAGCCCAGGTGAACTGTGAGCCGGTTCCCTTTGCCCTTAGCAACTGGAAGCCTGTGGACATTTTTCCCCTTCCCTACCCACCATGCTTGGTTTTTCTGTAAGGGTGGGGAGCATGGGTGGGAAAGAGGAGGCTGGGGCAGGGTCCACTGAGTTGCACACTTGGACTAGTAGCTCTTAGGTCTTGGATTGGTAGATTGCTTTCAGTGCTGTAAGTATGCCATGGAAGAAGGTACAGAGTTTAACTGGCATCTGTGTTGTGTTTAGTCTGTGTTGACATTTGGACAGGGAGATTGTGTTCTTGATCTAGTTATTCATTCAGTTAACATTATTAAGTCTGGAACATGAAAACCCCTGCTGGGGGCTGCATAATCAGAGGTGGGGCTGACCTCAAAGGGCTGGCCTTTGAGTGAAGCTCTGGTAGAGGACTGTTTCAGAGGCCTAAATGTGTGTGCAGAGTACAGTGACTCAGTGAAGAATGGCAAATTTTTGAGTGGCTGCGCCAGTGTCAGCTTGGTGGAGTAGAAAGAGATGAGCCAGGTGAGATGCACCCCAGGCCATATTATAAAGGGGTGCTAAAACATGAAGGACAGGATTGAAGAGTGGTCTCTCTCTCTTTTTTTGAGTCAGGGTCTTGCTATGTAGTTCAGGCTGCCTTTGAACTCATGATGTTGCCCAGGCTGACCTCAAACTCAACAGTGATCCTCCTGACTCAGCCTCTCCTCTGCTGGGATTACAGATGCGTGCCACAGATAGAGAAATACTATATAGTAAGACAGGCCCTTGCCTTGCCGCTGTGCTTTTTTTCCCCATGTTTCGTTTTGGAAATGTAACGGTTTGTGCTGCTGGACTCCTGCCCAATGTATCAAAATGTTTTGTAACTGTTTGACCTTCGTGACCTCTCAGGAGTGTTGTTAGCTCCACCCCCTCAGTGTTCCGATAGGCTCTGCCACTTACAAGAATGCTGTTATACTCTGCCCCTCAAAAGAATGTTCTGTTAAGCTCTGCCCCCTCACAAGAATGTTGTTAAACTCCGCCCCCTTATCAGAATGTTGTTAAGCTCCGCCTCCCTCTGCTTTGGGAATGTTCTGTAACTCCACCCCCACCCCACCCCCCACTTCAGTGAGCATGCTTGCTGACCCTGTAGATCCCTATATAAGGAGGCTCTCATTTCTGGTAGAGCACTCATGTGAATGCCTCTGAGCCTGCTGGTGTAATAAAGGTTTTTCTCCACTTCTTCAAGTGACCATGGGATTCTCAAGTCTTCAAATCAAGATAGCCTCAACCCAGAGCTGTAACACTGAGCTGTGCCTCAGACTGGGGCACTTGGTTGTGACACTGAGCTGTAACACTTGGCTATAGCACTGAGCTGTTCAGCTTTGCCACAATACCACTCAGCTTGAAGGGTGGTCCTAAGCAAGTTTTCAACAAAACTCAGAACATCACCATTACATTAATTCATGTGAAAAGTGACAAATGATTGAATATAAGCACTGGTTTGGGAGATGGAAAAGAGGAGCACATTAAATATCCAGAATATATACATTTACATTTAGCAGTCATTTGTATAAAGATATTTTTTACCTTGGAGTGGCTGAGATCTGCATAAAGAAATGTGTAAATTTATTGGGGGAGGGGTTTGAGACAGGGTCTTGCTATGTAGATCAGGCTAGTCTTGAACTCACAATGTAACCCAGGCTGGCCTCGAACTCAGGTTGATCTTCCTGCCTCAGCCTCCCAAGTGCTAGGATTACAGGTATCCGCCATTATGCCTGGCTGCTTTATAAATATTTAATGAATTAACAAATAGAATTTGGAAAATGGTATCCTGGAAATCAGAGTAGAGTTTTAAGAGAGTCATAATACTGGTCAAGTGACATGTTACTGAAAGGCCAAGTAAGATTCAGAAAGAATTCATTGGACTTAAAAACTAAATATGGACGAGTTTGATCCCCGGTACCAAAAAAACCTAAATATGGTTAAGTATTAAACTAGTATGTGTGGAGTTTTAGTGGACTAGTGGGAAAAGCCAAGTGTGAAGTGAAGAGTAAAAGACAAAGTAGTTTTGGTGATGACCTGGCATGAGATACAGAGACTACTGAGGCTACAAGCAGATAACAGATTAAGGGAAGAATTTATCTTAAGATTTGGAGCAATCAGGATGTCTTAGTCCTGATTATGCAGAGATATTAATGACATCTTGCAAACTCCATCTTAACTGAAGGGCTTTTAAGGAACTTGAGATAGTGTATATAGAGAGAAGCTAGGGTAGCACAGGAAGTTGTGGTGATATCTGTAATCCTAGCTGCTTGGGAGGCTCATGTTTGAAAGTGGGATCTGGTTGGAAGGGGTGGGTCAAGGGAATATATTCTTGTCCTTCTGCTCCTTTCTCTCCGCTTTTCAGCTGCCATGCAGTGAACAGCTTCCTTCTGTGATCCTATTCTGCCATGCCATTTCTGACTTGAGCCAACCTACCACGGACTCAATCCACTGAAACTGTGAGCAAAATAAACCTCTCCTCCTTAAGTTGCAGGTGTTGGCCATTTTGTACCAGCAATAGAAAATTAACTAAGTCAGAGGAACATATAAAAGTGTTCTGTGTGTATGTGCACATATATGCATAACTGCATTTGATTCAGCATCACAGAAGTTACTTGTAATCTGAATATCATCCCAAACTAAACTGTGGCTTCAAGCAAGTCACTTAACCCCTGTGAGCTTTAGTGCTACCATCTATCAAATGTCTACTTCATTTCCATAGGGTTGTTAAGAGGGAAAATATCTGTAGTAAAACCTATACATTTGTGAATATGGTAATTTCTAGTATGATGCTTGTCAAATAATAGATAGTAAATATTGTGAAATTAACTTCAGAAAACATAAAGGGATTTTAGAAAGGAGAGACTTAAAATATATGAACTTCAATATAGACACACTTGACTTTAGATGAACATAAAGTTCATGTAAAGTTCACTTACAAAAAGTAAGATTTTCCAGGAATCCATGACATGAAAACTGTTAAGGCTCATATTATGCTTTTTAAAAAAATTATTTCCTACCAGCAATTTAATGATTACCCAGTAAATATGCTTCATATATATATATACATACATATACTACAGTGATACATGTATGAAACATTTCTGCTATCCTCTTCATGAGTCTTTTTCAGATTCACTTCATGTTTTGATTTTGAGAATTTTAGCCCATGCTTAGTCTTGTCAATAATAAGAAGCTCTCCCATCCAGTAAAGTACAGCCCACTACTGGTGCAATCAGACCGTTTGTTTATATATTGTTTATAGCTCCTTTCCAGTGAAAATAGTAGAGTTGAGCAGAACAACAGCGACCATATGGACTACAAAGGTAAAACTTCAATGGGGAAACAGGACATTACTAGCTAGCCTTTTCAACCCATGCCTAGTGGTGACAAACAGATTTTCAGACAACTGAAGGCAAAGGAGTACTCTTTTTTTTTTAATGAATGAACAGCAAACACAAAAGAAATCAAATAAGAGATCAGTTTGGTCTAGATGAGAGAAAAATATCTGCATAAAAGACATTGAAGCTTAAGTGCCCTGAATAGGTGCCCTACAATGGAGAGGGCATTCCAGGAAGAGGAAGTCATGTGAACAAAGACAAAAGATTTCAGAGCACATACTAGTGGCACTTAGGCAGTCCCCATGAATGAAGTATATGCAATATAAGGAGGGGGAGGATGACATGAACATTCTTGTAAACTATGCTTACCAGTTTAAATCAGTAGAAATTAATAGCCATCAATTTTTGGACAGTGAACACCAAATGCTCTGATTGTAAGTAAGGATCTATGGAGATGACTTGTGGCAGTCAAGATTATACATACAGTCTCAGGAAAGCTTTTTGGCAGGGAATTCAATCATGAGAATTAGCACAGAATGGGTTCTCCAAAGTGTTTTCATGAGGAACTCTCCTCCTCAGGTATCATGTGTCAGAGCTCCTTAAAGGGCTATCTTTACAGTAAGCAGAGGAGCCCGTCAATAGTGAATGGAGAAGAGGTCTTATCTTAGAGCTTACTGCCACTGAGTAGGGGAAAGTCACACTCACAAAGGTTAATGTGTTGAGGAAATAGGAGTAAATAATTAAAATGTGTATTTCCAATCTAAAACAGATTATTGTGGTTAGAAGAAAACCTTAGAGATACAGTACGTAATCCTTGGTCCATAAAGGCTCAATTTATTTATACATAAAATGGTAATGACTGTGTTATAAACCTACTCCACAGCATTGTAAGAATTAGATGAATGAAAACACATAAAGCATTCAGAACATACTAGGCACTAAAAAAGCGCTGTGTGTTGGCTATTAAAAAGCTTCCTTACCGTGGTAAGTAGTGACAATAAAAGATGTGGGTATTCTAAATAAGAGAATCAGGTTGTAAGGTCATAAAGTAAAAAGTCATTCACTGATTCTTTTTTTTTTTTTTTTTTGGTACCGGGGATCGAACTCGGGTCCTTGCGCTTGTGCAGCAGGCAGGTGAAACCACTGAGCTAAATCACCGGCCCTTCACTGATTTTTGTTTCGGACAGACAGACTTGGAATCTCCTCATTTGGAACCCGTCATTTACTACCATGTAGCTTGTCCAAGCACTGCCCAAAAGTAGAGGAGAGCTAAATCTTTCAAGTAAAAGCTACCACTGCAGCCTCTACCAGTTTAAAGAGACAGTAACTCCGCATTTTATAAATATTCTCGCTCCTTCCTTCCTTCTGCAGAGCACTGCTCTCACTTCAAATTGTGCATAACTTTGCCAGCTCGTGTTTCTTTTTTCCCCCTTATTCAACTCCATACCTTATTCTGGATCAAATACTACAACAGATGTAATAATTACAAAACCAACGTGGTTAATAAAAGATCCCTTCCAATCCGTTTCAGTAAGTTTAAGAGGCACAATGAAATAATGATGAATGCAACTACGTGTCACTTATAAAATTACCATTATGGCAGATAAAAACTCCAATGAAGGAAAAGAGTAGATCCAAAGGTAAAAGCAGCTGCCTTTTGCCATCAGTCTAGGAACAGGCATCTGACCCCACAGGGCTTCCAAAGAAGTTAATGTAAGGAATGCGCCCTTTGCAGCTCGGCCACAAGCAAAAATGAAGCAAGAAGCACATCAGTTTGGAACTTTCCCCCAAAGGCTCTAGTTCTCCAAAGTAGGTTCCTAACTCCCACCTACAGAGAGAAAGCCAGTGCCAGAGGCAGCACCCAGGGACAAGCAAATTAGCATTTCTAAGGTCAGCTGCTGACAGGCTTAACTGTTTACAGCAACCAGACTCTTTGGGCTGCTGAAGCTAAAGGTTTAACCGCTCTGGCTTACTCAGTACCACAAGAAACCAATTTACCACGTCAGCTTCTGAATATGAATCCTCTAGATGCAGATTCAAATTAACATACAACATCTCATACAGAAGCAAATATTAACTAGATCATTTTTCATTTTAAGCTGGCTAAACAAGGTTTTTCTCAAGAACCTAAAATACAACCATTTCAGTGGTAGACGAATAACAAGTACAAAAGAAATCAACAGAGAATATCTTGTTTTACCAACTGTGATTTAACCAAAACTGCTAAAAAGTTGCAAAGTCAATTGGTTTGGTTACCTCTCCAATTTTTTGCCTTTCTCTGACAAGTCACAGGAAAGTGAAATAATCTATATCCCGATTATCTAAATCAGCAGCCACATGCTACCTGTGCCTACTAAGCAGAGGAAATGCGGCTTACCCAGAGTGAGGTGCAGTGTTACAATTATGATTTTTAGCTCCCCCTCAAAGACTATCAAAATAACTCAATAACTTTCATACTGATTACATGTTGAAATAGTCTGAATATGCTGGATTAAAAATATTAATCTCTCCTCTTTACCTTTTGTAATGAAGACAGTAGAAAATTTCAAGTTACACATGTGGCTGAACTGTATTTTTATTGGACCGCAGTGCTATATGTAAATGACACTTCACATTATTTAGCAAAAATATGACATTTCACTTGTAAAATACAGAAAGAGAAAGAAAAGGTCTGGATAATAAATTAATCTATGGAATAATCAAATTGGTTTCAACTATGTTAATTATCAACCCAATGAAATGTTTTTTCTGCTTACCAGATCAAATTTTACATCTTTTAGAAAAAACCTGATGTTTCAGAAAAAGTCTGACTTCTGGCATGAGTTGTCATCTTTGCTTAGCATTAAATTAGTCTCAATTCCTTGCAATGTTCAAAGATACACAGTGCTAGTTCAATTCTTTAATCTGATTGAGTGGCTCCAATGCAGTTTTTTTCTGAAGTCATACCATTAGGTCACTGAAACCCAACCAAAGCCTCTGCTCCAAAGATAGAAAAGCAAAACCAATAATTGAAAGTCCAGAAACACCTGGATAGTGCTCAGGTATCATACATATTGTTCTACAAACCTAACAGTGACCTGTTTGCTATTTTAAAAGGTGATATATCCCAATGCAAACGGGAGAGCTTAGCAAACAGGAGTACGGCAAGTGACCATTTCCACGCACCCCAGAATGTGGAGAAACCGTGCCAACTTTGAGGCTGAGGCAGTCAGTAGAAAGAAGACAATCTGGAGGTGTTGGGATGACAGAAAATTTAAGGAGTGAATCTCCATGGGAACAGAGCTGGGGGAGAGCAAACAGCAGCCAAAATTTTTCTCAATAGTTCTTTAAAATGAAACCACTCAATTTTCTCACTAAGGAAGCCAACAGGAAATGAAAGTATACTTTATACTTTTAACATTCTAAAATTGTCCCAAACACAATTGGCCCACTAGTAGGACAAAAGCCAAGATACTTAGGTGAACAATACATATAAATCTTTTTACCATTACCTAGAAGAATAAATGCTATTTTTACTCATGAAATATATAAGGTTTGGTTTTTTTTTGCTTTGTTTTTTTGGTTTTCTGAGACAGGGTCTTGCTACACAGACTGGCCTTGAACTCACTAGCCCAGGCTGGCCTCCAACTCACAGCAATCCTCCTGCCTCAGCCTAAGTGCTGGGAGTACAGGTGTGTGTACCACACCCAGTTACATTTCTATGTTTTCCAACAAGGCCTGCATCATTGCTAAATGAAATGGAATAACTTGGACAACTGAAAATGAAGCCAACTGAGATGAGAGGTATAGTAATCATTCTGGGTGAGTTGATCTTGAAAGGTTACAATCTTAAAAGTCCAACAGTCTGATGGACAATAATTTTACTTTTTCTATATAGGAAAAAATTGAGGCCCCAAACTACTAAATTCTAGTAATTTAGGGATTATGTCTTTTACATAAAATTAAATTCTGCAATCAAAAACCATTCATCAGGAAGGCCAAGCACTACCCTAAAACCAGTGTTCCAGTGCCATCTAGTGGCGTGTCTCCTGTCCAATGAGGGATACTGACTGGACCAGCTTTCAAAGTGTGGTCCCTGGGTCAGCTGCCTCAGCTAACCTGGGAATGTAAGTTACCCAGGTCTGCAAATTCCTGGGCTTGTCTACACCCACTGAAACTCTACTGGGAGGGTCCTGAGTCTAATAGGCCCTCAAGTTTGAGAACTTCTGACTTAGAAATTCTGACACAAAAATTAAGTGCAAAGTCTTCAGAAATTAGGTTTATAGATCAATAAAGGGGCTCATTTTCTATTTTTGAAAAGCAATTTCTTTTTCTACACTCTAGATCCAAATATTTTTAATTAAAGGAATAGTCGTCCCCCCCCCCCCGTGATACTAGGGATTACCCTGAGCTACACCACCAGCTTTTTAAAAAACTTTTTATTTTTTATTTTTGAGAGAAGGTCTAGATAGGTCACTAAGTTGCCTGGGCTAGTCTCAAACTTTTGAATCTCCTGCCTCAGGCTCCCAGAGTGCTGGGATTATAAATATTCACCACCACACACATCCAAGATCAATACTTTTGTTGTTGTTTTGTTTGAGACAAGGTCTCACTGTGTAGTTTAGGCTGGTTCTGAACTCACTATGTAACTCAGGCTGGCTTGAACTCAGATCTTCCTGCCTCAGCCTTCATACTTGGCCCTAAAGGAATAGTCTTAAATGCCATTTGCTAACACACTGATGTATGGATTCAATATCTGATAAGTACCAAATGATTTCCAAACTCTGCAAATACCCAATGAGCACCTGAGGTCTCTGTCCTCAGCAGACGAGTTCAAAGGGGAGACCAAGTACATTAATCAAAAAGCAAACAAACAGAAAATACGAAAAAAACCCCAACTTAAATGCAAAAGGTTCCATGGAACAAAAGTGCATTAAATGCTATCAGGCTATCAGGCTATGATCTAGTATTGTATCTTAAGAGGGAAAACAACCAAGGAGGTCAAGCACTGGTCATTCTTTTTTTTATTATTCACTGAGTTTATTAGTACAGTTTACATGTACATAATGATCACATTCATCACAGGGAGTTTGTACCTGTATATGATATCTTGGTTCTTATCCCCCCCCCATCCCTCCACCCCTCCCTATTTACAAAAGCTTTGTTTCCATTATTTGCCTCTTTTCTCATTTCCTTCCTTTCCCCACCCCCCTCCTTAGTTTCCCTTCCCCCTTGGACATTTTCTTCCTATTTCAAAATATCTACTATACATTTTGGTCCTCATTTACACTTTCAGTTTCTCACACCAGAGAAACTATTCAGTATTTATGCATGTGTATCCTATTTACTTCACTTAAGAGTATGGCCTCAAGTATGGCCCATTTATCTATAAATGACCCTAGTTTATCTTTCTTTATGGCTGAGCAGTACTCCTTTTTATTAAAAAACAAAAAAATAAAAAAAATTTAAAAAATTTAAAACAATTTAAAAAATAAAATAAATAAATAAAAGATAACAAAAAAATAACAAAATTTAAAAATCGTTTTCTTTATCCAATCATCAGTTGATGGGCATCTGGGCTGTTTCCAGGCTTTAGCTATTACAAACTGTGCTGCTATAAACATGGGTGTGCATACGTTGCTGCAGTATGACGCTTTTAATTCTTTTGGGAAGATATCAAGAAGGAAAATACCTACGTCAAATGGAACCTCCAGTTTTAGTTTTTTGAGGAATCTCCACACTGATTTCCACAGTGGTTGCACCAGTCTGCACTCCCACCAACAGTGGAGAAGGGTTCCTTCTTCCCCACAGCCCTGCCAGCATTTGTTACTGGTTGATTTCTTGATAGCAGCCATTCTTTCTGGAGTGAGATGGAATCTCAGTATTGCTTTCATTTGCATCTCTCGAATGACCAGTGATGTTGAACATTTTTTCATGTATTTATTTGCTGTTTCTACTTCATCTGAAAAATGTCTATTCATTTCAGATACCCATTTGTGGACTGGGTCTTTAAATTTGGGGGGTCTGATTTTTTTTTGAGTTCTTTATATATTAGAGATAATAGTCCTTTGTCTGAGGTCATTCTTTATATTTAAGAGTCAGCTACCCTAATGACAACAGCTAGCAGTGTAAGTCCACTGTATATATCTGCTCTGTGCAACTATGACGATGTCTTGCTAAAATGAAAATGTTCCTTTTCCACTGAGCTCTTGGAGGGAGAATTTAGTGACCTTACATAGCAACTGAAAACAATGAGGTTCAGTAAAAGAAGTCCTATACAGACATTCCCTGCTCCTGGGTAGGAAGGATTAATATAGT